GTATTGGTTTAGATTTTGATATGGCCTTACAACTATTAATATTTTTCAAACAAACATGGAGTGCTTAGTCTTTTTAAAGGAAAAATTATCTCCAAAGCCTTTTATTTCTTCCTGATGGATTAGTTTCCAGGTGCCTTGGAAACTCAAACAGCCTGACATATGAGGCTGAGCATTATTTCCTAAATCAGCACCGCAGGCATGAACTTCCTCCCATGGCCGGCCTCTGATAACTGCTATCTGCCGGTCTGCAACGGTGGCCTGCGGTAGATAAGACCTTCACTAGTTCCCTTTGTGCCTGGAGCCCAGAAAGCTATTTAAGGGGAAGTGAAGGTAAATGTGCACAGTTGTTTTCTGTCTTCATAGAAAAATGACAAATCAATAAAACAATCATCTGCAAAATATCTATACCAAATGGGCTTGCCCCAAGTACAGTTAATTGTGGAAGGCACCCCTGATGAAATTTCTAGGTCATTTCAGCATGCTAACCTGTGTTTCTGGTGCACTCTGGATCTTAGGAGGATACGCTCTATCACTGAAATCTAAAACCCGCCCTGGATGGTGCGTCCACTGTGCACCCCACTCCCTCCCAACCCCACCCTGCTCTATCTTCTGCCTGCAGGGTCTGTCATTGCCAGTGGTCTGCTGAGCTCTTCCCTGTTAACATCCCATTTTCCTTTGAACCCCAGCTCTCCTCGCCTGGCTCCCACCTGCACAATCCCCTGGCCTTCTTCCCATCCTCAGGATGGCAGAGCAGAGCTGGAGAGAGCCTCCTGGTGTCAGTGTGTGCCCAGCGCCAGCCTCCTTTGCATACGCCTCCAGGCCGTGGCTGGTCTTCGGTTCCTGTTCCCTTCCATCTCCTACAACATACCTGGGCCATTCTGCAGCTCTCTGTTGAGGGGGACACACAGCAATGATCCCAGTTGTTTGTTTGATGTTTTTGGAAACCTCTTTGCAAGGCTCTGCTGCTTGCTCCCAGTGATGGTGATGCCTCCATCGCTTGCAAAACCTGAGCCTCAGACGAACTGAGACTCCTCTTCCTTACCTGCCAGTTACCTACAGGCACATCTCACCTCCTTCCCTCCGTTGCAGGGGTAAGCGTGGGGCCTCCATTAGTAGCCTGTGTCCTGATCTCCCTCCCACATGTGTCCCAGCAGCTCCTGCTCCATTCTCACCCTCTGCTCCCTCCAGCTCGGAATTCTCCTGCACAGCCATGAGTGGGGCCCTTCTCTTACTCCTTAGTGTGAGTTCACGGGGAGCACTGATGCTTTGCATGCATGTTGCAAAACCTTTTTCTGCAGTTTTTTTAAATTTTGGTTATAGCGTTTTGACATCTGAAAGTTTTAAATTTAGTCAGGCTTTACACTTGGAAAAGTTGTAGCCATCAAAAGATGGCATAAATGATCACCTTTACTTTATTTTAGGACTTCAGTGTTAAATTTCCACACGTTCGCTTTTGTCTCTTCTGACATTTTGGGCTGTGAGGTGTACAATGGAGGATTTAACTATTTTTTCCAAATGGATAATTATAACCCCTCCTTTTGCATTCTGACTTCACAAATCATGATGTCTTAACCTCTCAGGTACGCAGCTGTACAGCGCAGAAGGCCATTTCTGTCACCAGCAGACCGCACACAGGAAGTTGGCCCCATGACAGTGTAATATGGTATTTTACCTGTGCAGCACGTCCTCAAATGACATCATCTCATTCAATGTCATTTCAGTACAACATTGATGTGAAAAAGAACTGATGCAGCCGGATGGTGTCCTGGCCAGGAGGAGGCCTGCCTCGTAGGACAGGCTGAGCTGCCAAGACACACTCCACAGACCCACGACCCTGGCCTTGAGTCGCTGGGAAATCATCGTCCGATCTGTTTTTCTTTTTATTAAATGTCCACATAGCTCCCATTTATTTCCATCTTCAGTATTAGAAGTGTTTTAGTCTTTATTCAGAGGCTTGGTGATGGTTTTGTGACTTGAAATACGCTGCAGGAATGTGACTCTTGTTTATGTCAATTAAGCTGTGGCAAAACTGCTTTAATTGTGTGTCGTTTTGCTTCAGGTATGTTTGCAAGAACCTTACGATGATGTGAAGTGAGGACTTACAGCTTTTCTGTGTTTGGATCCACGGCTCCTTACCCGGGTGCCGCCGCCGTCCCCGGGGTTCAGCACAGCCGCGTGTGTGCAGGCTCGGCCTGGGAGCCGTGGGCACCCTCGGTGTGCGTCAGGCCCCCCTGTCGTGTTCTGCCACGACGGAATCACCCAGCGACGCCTTTCTCGGAACGTATGCCTGTCGTTCAGTGATGCACAGCTGTGCCTGCATCTGGTGTTGGGTTTTTCTGTTCCATTAACTTGCCTTTTTGGGCTGCTGTTAACATCATATTTTAATATGTGCTAGGATACACTGTCTCTCATTCCTTTTCTCACCCAGCATTTTTCAGCTGTCCCCACAATTTTGTCTCCTGGATAAGTTTACTCCGTTTTAAGAGGCAGCTGGCAGGAAGACTGTGCAGACTAATTCAGGTGCCCCATGCAGGGAGAAGGCCTGGGTTCTGTGGTGACAGCTGCCGTTCATGCCTCCCAAGGGCACTGCGGTTGAAGGCACAGCTCCCTCTGCAGCCGAGTGGCTAACTGACCCAGCCAAGTTGGAGGGAGGCCACCAGGAGGGGCTGCGTTGGGCGCGCTCTGGCCCTGGACTGCCTGGAGGGGTGCTCTGCAGTCTCTGGCCTCCCCAGGCTCCCTCTGCCCACCCTCCACTGCCCTTTTCTTTCTCACGTCTGCAAGGCAGAAGGCCTTTGTGAGGCAGAAGCTTTGTGAGGCAGAGGCTTTGGTGAGGCAGA